TTATAGATTATTATTTTATGTATTTTATCTTTTTATTTTTATTAGTTAATATTTAAGGTTAAATTTAATTTATTTTATGTTATATATATTTTTTTTATGTGAACTTGTGTTAAAGATAGAATAGATAATTTAGGATCAATTTCAATAATTTTTTTATTTGATTTTCATATTCTAATATTTTATAATTCATTCTTATCTTGCACAAAATTGTACCTTATTCAGTTATTCTAATTGAAATATTTATGTAAAGAAAACAGAGTAAAAAAAAACACAAATATTAAAATAAAATGCTGGTAGTTACAAAAAGGTAAAAGGTAAAAATTATTAAAATATAAGAATAAAGATTAAATAAGTATGTAAATATTAAAACATTAATAACTTTGTTTTAAGACCTTTTTTTTTCGAACACATTTGCGAAACTCTTTTTCTTCTTTCCTTGCTGCACTCACTGACTCACACTTTCTCTCTCTTCAATGTGGCCTTGAAAGTTGAAACAGCTTGAAAGTTGAAACCTCTCACCCATGTCATAATTTTCTTTTCTTTCTTAGCTTTCTCTCTGCTTTACCAGAAAATTGAGCTCTCTCTCTCTCTTAATCTCTCACCATATTCACATAGTAAGTGAGTACTACATCATTGATTATGCTGAATTATTAAACAATTAATTATTAATTTATTATTTATGTCTATATATATATGATCCCGTGAGATCTACTTTGCAGGAGTGAATAGCCTAGCTGAGGAGATAGAGACTTGTGGCAGCTGAAAAGAAAATCAGGGAAAGGTAAAGATTTCATACAGAACCCTAACGACCCTCAGACTCTGAAACTGTACCCTCTTTTTTAATTGTGTGTGATGAAACCCCCAATCATCGTCTTCGTCGAAATATGTGTCACTGTTTTTTTTTTTTTTGTTTTTTTTTTCTCTTTCTTCTTCTTCTTAAGCTGCATCAGATCCAACCCTCATACTTCATCTTTCATCTATTGCATGTCCATATACAGTTTAGGGTTTTGCTTCGCTTTTACGTTTCTCGACATTTTTTTTAGTGTTTTGGAGCTTAATTATTGCGTTGAGGAACTTAGTATGGCGTTTTGTTTTGTTCCGGCTCTGTCATGCTCCACAAAGATCTGAATTTCTTCTTCTTTTTTATTTAACTCTGGTGGATGTGGTAATTTTTTATGCTGTGGTGCTTTTTATCTGTTTTTTTTTTTTTTTTTTTTTTTTTTTTTTTTTTTGCTTTTTAAAGAAAACTTAAGAAAGGTAAAATGATTTTGTTGCTTTGCGTACTTTTTGTCGTTGAAGTTCCCTTGGGATTTCCTTTTTGGGCGTTTCTGGGAAATGATAATCAATAGCTATAATTGATGTGTTTTTCAAGGTATTCACTGATTCTATTGCGGTGGTTATGGTGTTTACGATAACTAATTCGATGCAGGATTTGCGGAAGGTGATACTATGTTGGATTATCATTGAGAGTGTGAAGGGATGTTGGAGAAAAGTTTGAGATGAAGTGGATTGACTTTCAGCCATGATAAGGAGATGAGTGAAATTACTTGGAATATCACAGGCTGGTTGCTGGGGTACGAGGAGAAGCTAGTTGTTGAATTGTTGCCGGTGTCTTTGACTGAATTGCATGTTACAAAAGTCCCTTGTCCTTCCTTTGTCTTGCTTATTTAAATATTTGAAGCTGCTAACATCTTGGTGAATGGCTTGTAAATTGTAATAGATGTAATGTTTTGCTAGTAATATAGTTATCTAGCAACAATATAATTTATGACTCACTGAGTTTTGGTACTCTCAAGCGTTCCTCCAAGTATCATAATTTTCTTGTAGCCTTAATCTTGCTGGTACTAGAAGGGTAAAATGGAATCAGAGACTTCGAACGCCAGACACCCTCCCAGTTTTCTTCATCGGTCACTTCCTGCTGTTGTACCAATCCTTTTGATTTCAACAGGATATGTTGACCCAGGAAAGTGGGTAGCTATAGTTGAAGGAGGTGCAAGGTTTGGGTGTGATCTGATGGCCTTCACGCTTATCTTCAATTTTGCAGCTATCTTCTGTCAAAACTTATCAGCAAGGGTTGGTGTTATAACGGGAAAAGATCTTGCTCAGGTATTATACTTTCCACTCCATGGATTTATATAATCATACTGTTGCTGCATTACAGTTGTACAATTTGAACATTTTCTGTCCATCCCCTTCTGGAGTAAGCATTTGCACAGTGGGGAACTATAATATGGAAGGCTACAGAAGCTAAGGCTCTTTTCAAGAGGAAATGGAGCAAGAATTTTTTTTTTTTAATGTTTTCCCAGCTTTGTTTATATTTCTAGTTTTAGTGCATAGAAATTAGGAATATTGACGATTATTTGCATCCACTTTCAGTGTATCATTTACCATATAAGTTAGAAGTTTATAAAAATATGTTGATTGATGATCATTTCTATCCTATCGTAATTCTACCCTTCTAAATATAACTTGGAAGTAGGGAACATTATACTTGTTAATATTAATTGTTTCTTCCATCATAAAAATAACGAGTAAAGGAATGAGATGATCCCTTCCTTTCCCACCTATCATGTTTAGATATTTGCTGGAACATGTATCGTCATGTGCTTTACTCTGTTATGCATAAGTTATGAGTCAGGTAATATGGCGTCTATTTAATCTGCTTGTTTAGTTGATTACTGAGTTGGTAGTTGGTTTCCAGCCTTTCTCTGTCCCTACAAACCCACTCCCTACAAACCCACTCAGATTCAGATTCTAGTAGAACTCCATGCATAATCTTAAATCAGCGTGTTTTGCTTATGGAGCTTCATTTTCATGTCAAAGATTTGCAGTGATGAGTACGATAGTTGGACATGCATGCTTCTTGGGGTTCAAGCAGAACTTTCAGTGATTATACTAGACCTTAACATGGTAATATTTCTCGCTTGGTTTTACCTTCAATATTTGGCTGGCTCTTTAAAAAAGACATGATTTATCTGCGCTTTAAGGCACTATATACATGACTGAACTTGTTTTGACATGACCCTGTGATTTGACCTGTTTTGCAAGATATTGGGCATGGCACATGGATTAAATATTCTTTTTGGGTGGGATTTGTTCACTTGCGTCTTTTTCACTGCTACTGGTGCTGTTTTCCATCTCCTTCTTTTTGTCCTGCTTGTAAGTATCTTTATTTGCTTATTCATCAATATCTGCTGGTCAACAATAGACTTATGATATTTCCTTTCTCTAGGACATTGAGAAGGCGAAGATCCTGGGCCTGTTTGTGTCAGGTTCTGTAATCCTTTTGTTTGTACTTGGAATACTCATTAATCAACCAGAAATTCCATTATCCGTTAATGGAATACTAACAAAGTTGAGTGGGGAGAGTGCATTTGTGCTAATGGGTCTTTTAGGAGCAACTCTTGTGCCTCACAACTTCTACCTTCATTCCTCTATTGTACAGGTATTATTTCCTGGCATATTTAATTTTTCTTTGGCATCCATAGCATGCTTGCAAGCTAATATCTTTTGTGTTTTCCTGAATATGTTTGTATCTCGTGGTTTGCTTGTTCTTAAGAGTTAAGATTCTGCCACCTCCACATGGGAGTAGGCTTTCATAGCTAGATGACATACTGCTGGAGATCTGTTATCTTTAATCAGTCTTATGCTGAAAGAAGACATGGACTTTGAGCAGTTTTTAACATTGTTCCACTTCCTATAGAAATCTTTGTTCCATCGTTTTCTTAACTTGGTTTTGCATAGCTTTATCCAAATCTTTGTTTTGATTTTTTTACCTTGTTTAGTGTTGTTTTATCTGATAATTTGTTGAACATTATTTTGTCAATATTTAGATCAGTTGCTAATTTGAATGGCCTAAACCAAAATATGCTTAGAGTGCTCATCATAAAAGCTTCATATGCATTCATGGTATCTTTTTTCCTACATCTTATGATGATTTTAATATTTGCTTATTTTGTCTGAAGTTCCTGTTGGTTAAAGTTAGTCTTGCAACTAAACTTGATAAAGGAAGGGCAACTATGCTAATGCTTTGGAGTTTGGATTGATATATAGATATTACATGCTTGGGAAAAGTTTGCTCATTGGTGGGTATAAACCAGGAACTGTTTTGAAGTGGGATGTGATGCAAAAACAAGAGGGAAAAACTAACATTTTTATGGCTAGACATTATTGTTGGGGAAATGTGGCATTCACTGATAAGATCTTGAATTGACTGTCGTATGGTCATGCCCTTGGGCTATTTGAACTACTAATTTATAACAGTTTCTTGTTCTCTGAATGCAATTCCCTTTTTGGATAATTTTCTGATTCTGCTCTAACTTATATAAGGCTAACACTTTAAAACAAAATCTTGATGACACAATTTTATGGTCCAAAATGAGGAAGTTTGGGGGAATTTCAAAAAACTATGTATTTCATGGATTTATTCTTTAAGGATGAGGTTACTTAATTGTGTGAACTAATCTCTTCATTTTAATAAAAATTGAGAACAACTAATAAGCTGATGTATGTTTTGTTCTTTGCCCTGTTTTTCTTCTAGAAATCATGTGTCCAGGCATATTTCGGGAACAATAAAATGATCTTATTGTGTGTTTTACTTTTAAAAGGAAGAAGATTTCATGTTAAAAATTATTGAAAATGTCATCCTTAGATACCCTGCTTATGTAGCTGTGTATCATCTGGGAATTCTGCTAAAACCTCAGCTCTGATGCTCTAATGCTTCTTACAAGCTAGGGATTTGGGGGATGTGTACCGTCCAGGAATACCTCAGTTCTGTACATGTGAGAATATCTCAAACCATGATCCCTGAGAACATCTTGACTGTAACTAAGCTGTGCACCATGCCTGTCTGATTTAAGAATGTCTCGTTGGGTGATCACTGATCATCCAGAATATAAAGCTGACTTGTTAAATGTCCTACTGGAATTTCAGCAATCCATCTAATTTAGCCTGCATGCAAACCATCATTAATACCACCCCAGTATAAATGGCTGAGTTAGGAGGGCATGTTCACAATGCCTCCCTCAGGCTTGGCTAAGTCATGTTGTATTTGGTCTGCGCTTGTCCGGCCTTAGGAACCCTTGTGCGAAATAATAGTGTTTAAGCTAGCCTGATCTGATTACTTTCTTGCATTTTTTCATAAAGGGTTGCATATAATGTACCACTTCATAGTGGTTTCTGTTTTGTCAATCTCATACTTTCTTACATTTTTTGCAGTGGCATCAGGGATCAACTACCACTTCTAAGGATGCTTTGTGTCATAACCATTTTTTGGCGATCACGTGTGTCTTCAGTGGCCTTTATTTGGTAAATAATGTGCTGATGAATGCTGCAGCGAATGAGTTATACAGTATGGGTCATGTTTTGACTACTTTTCAGGACACACTATCACCAATGGAACAGGTCCCTTTTCCACCCATAATTGAATTACAGCTAGATATTTTCTTGCATCTTACCGAATCACATCTGTCTTAAACATTGTGAACAAATCTAATTCTAAGATTCTTATTGCAGGTGTTACGTAGTCCAATAGCCATGCTTGCTTTTTTACTCATTCTGTTTTTTTCAAATCAAACCACAGCGTTAACTTGGAGTTTTGGTGGAGAAGTAGTCGTGCACAGTTTCTTAAAATTGGATATTCCAGGTTGGCTTCATTATGCTACAATTAGAGTAATTGCTGTTCTGCCGGCCCTTTATTGTGTTTGGAGTTCAGGAGCTGAAGGGATGTATCAACTACTTATATTCACTCAGATTGTGGTAGCTTTGCAACTCCCATCTTCTGTGATCCCCCTTTTTCGGATTGCTTCATCTAGATCAATAATGGGGGTACACAAGGTCCCTCAATTTGTGGAATTTTTGGAGTTGATCATATTTATTGGGATGCTTGTCTTAAATATTGTCTTTATTGTAGAAATGTTATTTGGCAGTAGTGACTGGGTGGGCAATTTGAGATGGAATGTGGGGAATGGGGTGTCTCTCTCTTATTATGTTCTTCTTTGCACTGCTTTTGCATCATTCTGTCAGATGCTTTGGTTAGCTGCCACACCTTTAAAATCTGCAAGTGTCCAATTAGATGATCAGGCATGGAACTGGGACATGCCACAGGCCATACCAAAACCAGAGATTGATAACGAGGAAACAGATTTAAATGAAACAAGGTATCATGGAGATGCATCTGTTCAGGTGAAGGAACCACCACCAGCTCTAGCAAGGACCTTGGAGTACCCAGATGTACCAGTTTTGGGTTTTCATCATGATCTACCTGAAACTATCATGGAGCCTGATGTTCCTGTGACTACTGTAAGGGAGACGCGTCCATTTACATCATTTCCTTGCGCCCCACCATCTGTTAAGGAATTGGCTTCCACTTCAGAATCAGAGGAAGTACCAGCGGTAAGTAATGAGACTTCTGATATTAGATTGGGTGATGCCAAAACGTTTAAAACAAAAACTAGTGCCCCTGTTGAGAAAACTGTAGAAGTTGAGGGGGATTCAAATGCCGAAAGGGACGATGATGATGGAGATTCATGGGAAACTGAAGAAACACCAAAAGTGGTCTCACTAGCCCCATCTTCGGCATCAGATGGCCCACCATCATTCAGGAGCCTTAGTGGGAAAAGTGATGATGGAGGGAATAGCATTGGAAGTCTTTCGAGACTAGCAGGTTTAGGGCGTGGTGCAAGACGTCAATTAGCTGCTATTCTGAATGAATTCTGGGGACAACTTTATGATTTGCACGGTAATTTTACCCCGGAAGCTAAGGCTAAGAAACTTGATGTTTTGCTAGGAGTAGATTCAAGGCTCACTGCTTCATTGCAGAAAACGGATGCATGTGGAAAGGAATATCCTGAATACTTGATGCCTGTAGGAAGTAGAGCTCCGGATACTTTAATGAACTCCGCTCCATATGACTCTCCCAAGCAGCATAGGATGCAGAGTAATTTAGAGTCTTCCTATGGGCCTCGAAGGAGTTCATCACTGCGGACCAATCCTGTCCAGTTTATAGATGAATATGTTCAGATCTCCAGCCGCAATCTCCCTGGTGCTGGTGAAAGGCGCTATTCCAGTGTGCGCAATCTACCTTCATCTGGAGCCTGGGAATATCCGCCAGCTACTACACATGGTTATCAGGTTGCATCGTTTAATCAGGCTGGTAAAGACACAACTTCTAATAACTTAAATGGTCTGATGGAATTGTCTTCACTGAAATCCCCTTCCGTGGGTAATACCAACAGCTACAGGAATTCTATTGCATTTGCTATGGGGCAAAAGTTGCAAAATGGTTCAGGTTTAAGCCAACCTCCGGGGTTCTCTAACATTGCTGTCTCTAAGAATAGCCAATTGCCATCTGAGAGGTCTTACTATGATTCTCATCCTTCTGGACCTGCAGATAATGCAGTCAGTTCAGTTAATGCTAAGAAGTACCACAGCTTGCCAGACATTTCAGGATATGCCATTCCTCGCAGGGATGTTTACATGACTGATAAGAGTGCTCCATGGGATGGCTATGTTGGTGGATATGGATCTTCTGCAAGCAGGACTCATTATGAACCATCATTATGTTCAAATTCTGGATCAAGGACGGTAGCTCCTTTAGCCTTTGATGTACTCTCTCCATCAAAAGTCTACAGTGTACTTTCTTCTCAGTATAATTCTGGTGTCGGTACTGGATCCCTCTGGTCCCGACAGCCTTTTGAGCAGTTTGGGGTGGATGATAAAACTCAAAATGCTGCAACTGAAGAGGTTGGAAATAGGCCTCGTGCAACTACTCAAGAAACCACTTCAATTGCGGATATAGATGTGAAACTTCTTCAATCTTTTAGACATTGTATTCAGAAACTCTTAAAACTGGAAGGGTCTGATTGGTTGTTTAGACAGAATGACGGGGCTGATGAAGATCTGATTGATCGTGTTGCTGCAAGGGAGAAGTTTGTTTATGAAGTTGAAACCACGGAGATGAACCGGGCCAATCATATGGGAGAAGCTCGTTATTTTTCTTCTGATGGAAAGTCTTGTTCTTCAATGAAGAATAATGAGGTAAATTGCTCTAGTTTTTCTATGGCCTCAATCCCTAATTGTGGGGAAGGGTGTGTATGGAGAGCAGACATAATAATAAGCTTTGGGGTGTGGTGTATCCACCGCGTTCTTGACCTCTCACTAATGGAGAGCCGACCAGAGCTGTGGGGAAAGTACACTTACGTACTCAATTGCCTCCAGGTAAATTTTAATAACTCTGAAGTTTGAGTTTTAGCTGGTCTTTTCACAAGTACTTATCAGTCTAAAAGTGGAGATATTTTCTATTTCATGCCTCACGGAGAACTTGATAAGTGGTATTTCCTTTGCTTCTTGTTCACTTGGAGATGTTGTTCCACTATGATATTTGCATGCATTCATCACTCATTCAACATAGAAAGAACTCATCCATGAAGTACGCACTATAACATGGGTGTTTGCTGTAAAGGATACAAAATTGCCTTTCCGAGTGTTTTAAGTTTTCTTCATTTAATAGGTCTTATTTGTCAATTTTCCTCCTTAATGTGCAGGGCATCATTGATCTGGCTTTTTTCAAGCCTCGTATTCCCTCTACCCCATGCTTTTGCCTTCAAGTTCCCATGACATACCAGCCAAAATCAAGCTCGCCTCCTTCCAATGGGATGCTGCCCCCTGCCTCAAAACCAGGCCGTGGAAAGATCACAACCGCACCAGTGGTGTTTGAGATGGTCAAGGATGTGGAGATCGCAATCTCTAGCCGGAAAGGTCGTACCGGAACTGTAGCCGGTGATGTAGCGTTTCCACTGGGAAAGGAAAATTTGGCATCTGTTCTCAAGCGTTACAAGCGTAGATTATCAAATAAACCAGTTGGCACTCGAGAAGGGATTCGCAAGGTTCCCACATCATCACCATACAACTTGTAGCATTTTTCCTTCAGCATGCATTAACAAAGCTGTATTCCTGGGGCTGTTCTGACTTGTGAAGAAGTTCATGCTATAGATCAAAGGATTACCATAGGAAGTTCCTCCCCACAGGACTGCTGTCACCGTGTACCAACCCTTGCCGCAGATTTTATTTCCTTGTATGTTATATACAGATAGGGTTAGAATTTCTGTGTGTAATTGCAACAAAATGAAAGGAAAAATGGTTAGATGGAAACTGACTTCTACCATTTTGGCTCATTTTTCATTACTTCATTCGCAAGTGCATGCAAGGTGGGGAAACAAAATGGGGGATAAAATTGTCGACATGTGGTCATCTAAACCCGGGAAAAAAAATTGTCCACATGTTTTTAATTGGAGTGTTATTAAGGCACTTGATGTTTGCCAAGTTTTCGTTTTATTAAGCCCTTCGAGCGTTAGTATGGTTAAAGTGGTTATGTTTTTTGGTTGGCCCAGTTCTCTGAAATCAGCATATTCTATTTTCTGCTCATATAAACTTATTTATTTATTTGTTTGTAATCATTCACTTAAGGCAACCTCTCAGATGCATTTCATCATCTGAGACTGTTTCTTCCATTGACAGTAACAATAACAGATAATTACTACTTGCAACCTAATCTATCTCTATCATTTCAGTTTTAGGCTCCAATTAAAATTCCATGCATCATTTTTTGTTTGATTTCCTCAAAATCTAGCAACTTTAATTGTAATCCACATAGCTTTATTGTTTTCGGGTTAAAGACCCAACATAATTTTTCCATGTTTTGCATATACAGTAATGGTCGAGTTTACTTACTTATTTGGAGTTAAATATATTTCTGTTAATTTATAACTGAAATCATGAAATAAGGAGTTAATGCATATCTTGTTTATAATATGTTTATTACTATTGTTTTTGTGTATACCATCATTTTACAAGTTTGTAGTATTTTTTTTATGCACGTGAATTTTGACTTGTGAGAAATAATGACATGAGATGCCGTAGGTACAAATATAAACAAAAGCTTTGAACTTTGAAACTTGGCAATGGATTTCCGGGTGGGTGTTTCTATTGGGTGGGCTAAAATTCATTTTTAATATTTTATACAACTAAATACAATTCTGATCACTGTTGGGAGTGAGAAATATTTTTTTCAAGATGTAAAATACTTTATCACTTTTTATTTTTATATTTTAAAAAAAATCTCAAATTATTAATTACTAGCGCTTAACTTTTGCAAATATATATGGGGTATATATTTTATATACAATTATTTAATTATACGAAATTAAAATTATTTTATTATATTCTTGTATAAATCAAAACCAATTAATATAAAATATTTAATTTGACTTAAATTTAAAGATAATAGTATAATTATAGAATAAATAGCTCATGCATTTATAGTGTAAAGGACTTTTACACAGTTATTCTATTACAAACCAAAATATATGATAAGTTTGAGGACTTTTACAATAACCATCTTATAATTCATACAATTCATGATTTATGATCGGATCATAGTGTAAATTCATTTTACACTTTTTTTATTCATGGATATAATTTATGAAGGTCAATGGACATAATTTATGAAGTACCAAAACTGACAATTAAGAATAATAAACCTTTAAACTCTTAACATTCTTTTTACGTTGATAGTGCATATAAATTAAACTTTTAAATATAATAATATTTTGTTGAAACTTGTAATAGAACTTAATTTGAATTTGATGATAATAACCTGTCTATAATAACAATAATTAATGTACTTTTATTTTAATTTGAAAATAATAGTAATTACTATAATTTATAATAAAATATGACTTAATTAAATTTGAAATTAAAATATAATAAAATACTTATAATAATAACTTAAATTTGTAAAAAAATGTAAATTTTTAAAATACTTATCACACCTTCATAGGCTGTGTGGAAATTAGGATGTAATGAAAAAAATATAAAAATTTAATTAATTTTCAAAGTTTGAAAAATATCTAAAATGAGTGGTGAAGAGTTATAATAAGGTTAAAAACCTCTTTTCGTCTCTTACATTATTTAATATTTTTAATTTAGTCTTACTTTAATTTTTGGTCTCAATTTGGTCTCTAATAACTTAATTTAGTGCAATTTGGGACTTCCGTCCAAATGATTTAGACGGAGTTAACTTTGGCCACGTGGCATCTACGTGGATGCGCACGTGGACGCCAAAATTCTTGAAAAAACTTGAAACTAGAACGACCCGTTCTACTTTCAGAATGACCCGTTCTGGTTTAAGAACGGGTCGTTCTGAAAGTAGAACGGGCCGTTCTAGTTTTAGAATGGGACGTTCTGCTTTTAGAACGGGCCGTTCTGAATTCAGAACAACCCGTTCCAGAACGCCATACTTTTTATTATATATATTTTTTTATTATATCTATATTAATAAATATATAACAAATAAAAAATACAATAAATTAATATTCATTTATGAATAAAACTAAAAAAAAATTAAATAAGATAAGACCTTCTAAAATATTTCTTTGATTTGAATTTATCCAGTTCAAAATCTTGACTAAAATGTCGCAATGTATTTAAAAAATTGAAAATAAAATTCAGGGTTTAGGGGTACCTCCTCAAGAACAGGTTGCTATTGCTGGGGTACATCGTCAATGACTTTAAGGAAAAACACTGTTTCGTTTTATCCTTGACTGTATAGTGGCCACCAGTTAACTTCGTTTAAATCATTTGGACGGAAGTCCCAAATTGCAACAATTTTAATTATTGGGGACTAAATTGAAACAAAAAATTAAAATAGGACTAAATTGAAAATATTAAATAATGTAAGGGATGAAAAGAGGTTTTTAACCGTTATAATAATATACATAATGTCTAAAGTCTAAGGTTTAGCATAATGTCTAAGATTCAAATCTTATTGTCGTTATTGTAATTTTGATGGATAAATGCATTATATCATAAGAGTAAATTTATAAGTTTACTTTTTTTTAATCTCTTTTAAATATTATATTTCTTAATTATTGGATAAATGGATTAATTAGAATGAAGTTAAATTGTCTTACTTGATAATCTTAAATTTCTTAATTATGTAATTGTATTAAATAATTAAAGGCATAGTTTTGCAACTACACATAAATGGTCATATTCAGTTTAAACAAAACTACTTCATGTTAAGGATACCAATAATTCTCTAACCAATGTTATCCTTTTATTTTTATTTTTATTTTGGGATGCAATTTTTTTTTTATTGATATGCAAAGCTTGTCTCATTATATTCAACTACACAAAAATAACGGAACCCAATTAGTTTCAAAATAAAGAGTCATAAACGAATGAAAATTACATGAAAAGTGAGTCTCACAAACAATAAAAAAATGAAAAATGTAATATAAGTGTCTTTTCTAATTGTGTATAGACTCACTGTTTATGTGATTTTCACCATGTTTATGACTTTTAAAGTTTAAAAATTAATTGAGTTCCATAGTTTTTGTAAAAATAAATATAATGGGACACACTTTGTATGTTGAATTAGGCAAAAAATAATTTAAAATTATGTTCCAAAATTAAAAATAATTATTATTTCAAAAGCACTATAATAACTAAATTTCAAAATTAAAGAACTAAAATAAATCTCTAAAAAAATTAAAAATCAAAACGAATTTTAGTAATAAGATAATTTACTAGAAATAATTTTTAGCCCAAAGAAATATTAGAGTTCTTGAAATAATTATATTCAATTTCTTTTAATTTTGTATAAATGAAACAAACAAACCAGACTACTCCCTAACTATACCAGATCTATCTTAGTAAATTAAGGTGAATAATAGCACAGGGACTAAGTTAACTAACTGCTAGATCCTGATATAACCTTCACAACAATTAAAGGTCTAACTTTTCCATTAAAAAAGAAATGAATAGGAGCAAGAAGATCTCTTTGTCTAAGGCCCTTGGAGCAAAGGATGGAAGCATGCTGCCCGTTTTAGACTAAATACAAAGTCAATAATAAGAGAGATCATATTAAAGGAGAGGCCAAACTCCATCAAAGATTCAAAGTGAGTCTAAGAATAATCCAAATGATCGACTCTATCATGCTTTTTCTCCAAATCAATTTTAAGAGAATCCTAGACCTACCTTTCCTGGGGAGCATCAAGTTAACTAACTTAAACAATAATGACATTATTGTATATTTTAGATTTTTTTTTATAACTATGTTATTGATGCAAAATATCAATTGACTTTGTTGATGAAATATTTGTTAAAGAGTTTGACTAATTATCTTTAGCAAAATCTCTTCTCTTAATCATATTTTTCCTATTCATAAGATTTAAATTCAAAATTTTGTTTAAAAAATTGAATTGAATTTTTCTTAAATCAAGGACTTATTGATGAATAGAGTTATTTAAAGAGGGTGAATTGCAAATAAACACCTTTAACCCTAGGTTACAACAAATGCTTCAAACCCTAAATATTACTTAAGTGTCCATATTAAAATTTAATGAATTCTCGTTAACCATCACCAGTTTGAAAGAAAGACCAATGTTCTTATCCCAAGCAAGTGTGGTGTTGAATCCGAGCTACCTTTAACAAGGAACAATGCAATAATTGAGAAAAATGAGTATGATCAGATTAGTACCATAACAAGATAGAAACCATGCCCCACCAACCTCCATAATGTCAAACTCCTGTTAACTTTTACATATTCTTCTAGAGCTCTACTTTCCAAAAACCTTATGTTCTTCCCCAACAAGGGTGTCTTCCAATGGAATGCACAACCCCTAACAATAATTTCAATATGCAACATAGACTTCAAATTTAATTATTTTTGCCATCAAACTATTCTTTTAACCCTTGAACGCACAATTCAATGCCCTTGCGATATTCGGAGGGAGAGTTTTTCTGTTCAATAATCTACGAGGTTTAAAAAATCTAGTTTTTTACTTCAGTTATTTTAATTTTATTCTCGTGCTCCTAAAATAAAATTATTTACATATTTTTACCTATTTATTTAAATAACTTGCACATATTTTTTCTTTTAATTTCCAATGTTTTTCTGAAGTATATTTATTATTTATTTTAAAATTTTACCCAAATTAAAATAAAACGTAAAATGCATAGCATATACTTATTAATAGCTTTCGAGTTTCATCTTGATTATACATCCCTTGTGTGTTTCCTAATCGATTAGACTAAAGGTGAGCAACAATCATCTGGGTACCCATAGAATTAACCACAACCTGGGCTTCATATGCCTCATTCATGCACAAATTATGGCCCATTAAAATAAACAGGGCTAACCCCATTAACACTTCCTCACAAAAGAAGCCATATACTCTCTCTCTCCTCTAAAGGGAGTTCAAGGAGGGGATATATATATATATATATATGGTATATTTTCTCTCTTTATTTATTTATTATTTTTTTTAATTTCTCTTATCATAAATTTTAAAGTAATTTTTATAATAGTTAATAAATTTATTATACATGACAAATTT